CAGATCCCGAACTCTCTGTGACTTCTGGTGTGTCATGCTCTGGAGTATTTCGTCAATTCTGTTCATTGTAAATTGAGTTAGTTTCAGAAAGTAATCTTTGGGATACTGTAGTTCAATATTTTATCGAAACATTTGGCATTGCATGGGGCTCACTTTGTTTCGCTAAAGGAGGATTACTTTCATGTAATCCTGCCTCGGCGCATCTAGTTAAACTCCGCTAACCCACTCAACTTTTCATTTTAGACTCATTGCTTCTACACTTGTCTCCCCTTCCATTTGTTCGCCCATTTTTATTTCCTTATTTTTCATTTCTATATCCATTTCCATCTATGTTTGTAGGCCTTTATACATGCTGTCGATTACCACGGTCAGCCGCAATCGAGTGGCGGTACAGACCCGATCGACGTTCGTTTGACCGATCCTGCAGGACGCCGATCCCCAACACGACTCGTGGATAATGGAGATGGCACCTATGAGTTGACTTTGCTTCCACTAGTACCAGGAGTACACCGACTCATTGTCAATATCCTCAATCGTCCGATACGCGGTTCTCCCTTTCATCTGAACGTCCGATCCAGAGAGCGACCTCGCTGGTGCCTTACAGAAGGTATACCCCACTCATTTTATGTTTATCTAGTTAATTCTTTTATGATCTATTATGGAAGAATTTGTCAATGCACACTAATATGATAAAAATGGAGTCATTCTTTCTTAATATAAAGGTCTCTGCTACATCAGCATATCCGTTTTTTAGATTTTTTTGACTATGGTACCGCTGTGTTTACATATCAATGAAGAAATAAGTACGGTTGTTCGTTCTCTTCTAATCTTAACTAATGCTATCCCTTCCATCTGTTATTAATTTATTTCGGGTATTTTTCTCTGAAGATGTCAGCTGCTTTCTAGCAAATTTTTTTATAAAATCCTAGAGCTAGGTTCTATATTTTAGCATTATATACTTCCATATTTAGTAGGACTTCTTTAAGCATTCTTATTATGATTCCTCTAGTCATTTCTCTACTGCACTGCTATTTTAATCGCCCTTATTTGATTTAGAATAATCTTTAGTAGGCCAGCTATTTCGCTATTTTCTTATGATGCAGAGGGTCGCCGTATTCTTTAAGATTTTATTTATCCCATATTTTCTTATAAAGGACGCTTTTTTAGCCTCCAGCTGGATAGACATCCTAGTTTAGGTCTCCACTTCATTATGAGCATAATCTCTTGGTCAGGTATATTCGATAGTTTTTAAATCTAACTTAAAGGTTGAATTTCTCAACTTATTCGTCTCAAAATTAGTGCACTGTTTTTCCCGAGATTCTTTTTGCTCACTGACTTGAGTTTTAGTTTTCTTCCTATTGCTGTTAATTATCACTATTTCTGGTCTGATTTGCTTTCTATTCTTTATCGAGCAGTTATTCCTCGCTGTAAATAATGCTTAAATTTTGGAACCATAGTATTATTTCCTCTTCTACTTCTATTATAAATTTAATATCTTTGGCTTAACACTATAATAAGTGCTCATGAATATTTTATATTACTAGTTGTTTGGTCTTGTTTTCACAATTTGATAATATTGGCAGAAAAACTTAGGGTAACGCATCATCTCCGGCGTCCATAGTATGCGTGTTGATTTCCAGATTATGACCTTGAACTTGGCACATTCCCAGACGTTTCGCCAGTATCGTAGTCGGCATCGACGCTGAGCCTTGCTATTCTTAGCATCACTCTACAACTCTTCAACCCTTTGACCAATTGTGTTTTAAATGGTTGAGATATCTCTTTACAACTATTTCGCTTTTGCAATGGCATTGCTCTTTCATCTTTTTTGGGTATAGGACCTACAGGCAAGCCGAATGGCGTGTATAGTCCTTAAAGGCTTCTCTATCATCAAGACTATCAACTGCATTCATTTTCTTATAATTTTCTATATTGTTGCGGGGACTTCCATTTCATATTAAAGTGCATAAAGAAGAGATTCGCGGGTCGATCTCTCCAGAAGAGAACGACTGAACCTCGTTGTATTGCAATCGTTTGGCCTTTATACCACATTCAGGTTGACGAAAT